GGTGCATAGATGGCTTGTTGATCTGGTGCACTATGCCCCCGATGGAATGCATGTTCCATGTGGTGGTCATGAATGCTTGAGACATGCAACAAGGGCAGGGCACACCCCTTCTTACTATTCTCCGAAGCCTTGGAGCCGTCGGGTTGATCAATCAATCAATGGTGTGTGTCTCGCTCTGTCTATCACACCAATCCATCCATCCATCCATCCATGCCTGTACACCCGCATTCATTGACACCGTCCATTCATGTGTGTGACCCTCTGTGGTGTGCACCAAGGTCAGGCAGACTGAAAGAAAGACAGACAGACAGAGACCCCCCTGCTTGATCCAATTGGCTTGATCGATGGACGGGCGGATGTCTTGTCCTTCCTGGCTGGTTCTTGTCCATCAGCGGAAGCGGAGCTGGTCGTAGACTGATGGACAGACAGAGATCACACACACACACACACACACACAGAGAGAGAGAGAGATGCACACAAGCCATGTTGGCCGGCGGGCGACTGTTTGCGTGGCTGAGTACTTTTGTGGCCCGGGAAGTAGATGTGGAAGCGCACGCTCGGCAGAGCGTCGCTGATGAAGTATTTGTAATGCACAGCCAGGGGATCCTCTGTGTTGCTCCAGGTGATCTCCTTGCTCGTGAGAAATTTCTTGAAAGATCCCTCATTCTTGAGCCTTTCGTAGTTGTCGTGCGTAATGATCTACACCCGTCGCACAGACACACGCACATGCAGGTTGATGACCGCATCAATCACAATCAATGCACAGTGACACAGTCCCTTACTGACCGTGTTGGAACGAATGCAGAACTCTCCCTTGCCATTGTCCAGCTTGTAGGTCTTGCCGTCCACACACTTGTTCTCGCAAGTGCCCTGCGCACACACAGAGACACACACACGCCATCCATCCATCCGCCCTTGCGAGCAACTCGTCGACACAGTCACCCACTGTCAGACTCACCGTGCCGATGGTATCGCTGCTCGGGGAGCCGGCTGCTGGTTCGTCTTCGTCGGGGACCCAGCTAATGAACTTGACCCTGTCAATCACACACACCTCCCCCTTGCCGCAGCCGCTGGGGGGAAACCACTTGTAGTTCATGCCGTCCATGCCGTAGCTAATGGCCTTTCTGCTGGAGACGAGGAGAATTGGCTCAAACACCACCTTGCACGTGTCGCCAGATTTCCCCTCCTCAGTGAAGGCTGAGGCTGCAGGAGACGGAAGAAGGCCAGCCCGAATCGAACTGTCAAGCCCAACTAAATACAACGGATGTGCCGACCTGTTATGGGACGTCCTGTGAGCTGGATGGTCGTGGTGAGCTTCTCGAGCGCCTTGACGGCATTGCCACTGGCCGCCACAGAATTGGCACTCGCCGTGTGTGCGGCCTCGATGATGCGTCTGGCCTTGCCGAGTGCCGTCTGCAGATAGGCAGCCGACACGGACCCACCTGCAGCAGCCGTCACATCCATCCATCCATCCATGGCTTTGGAAAGATCTCCTTCTCTCTCACCAGATTGCTGGATGAAGGCGTCGCCATCGATATCGTCCCCTGAGAGTCGGCATGAGGCGTCGGACCCCCAGCTGCTCACACACATGTACACGCGCGCCCAAGCCAACGACATTACCATCCACAGAAGGCAGGTATGCACCAGATCAACACGTGTGTGTACCAGCGCGCCGGGGGTTCCTCTCTTACCGGTGCATCCGCCCCGTCGGGGTCTTGCCGTTGGCGGTCTGGATGGCGGCACAGAGGCCCACCAGAAGCACCAAAGCTACGGCAATCGCGCAATATCGGGTGCCGTGGCCAAGGTGATGCATTTACTTGGCTGGGTCCGCACAATTAACACCCAACTCGTCTCTTAATGTGCGCATACCCAAAAACAACGGACCAGACCGAGCCACCATTCTGCCTGTGCACACTGGTCTCATGCATCCCGCCAACCCTGCCGCAACTTCTCGTATCATATCGCCGGCAGTGCCTTGAATGCATCACCATCAAATGGAGACGCCGACCCCGCCTTGTCCTCTCTCTCAGCAGCAGATCCTGCCTCAGTCTTCATCTCTTGCCGGCTGCCGAGTGACCGCACGGTGGCTGCAAACTCATCCATCTGGCTCGCCAGCAGGTCCACATAATCTGAGCCGCTGTGTCGCCCTGCACCAATGTCGTCCATGTGCACGTCGCTGTTATCCGTCGGTGTGCCGGTTGGTCGCTCAGAAGAAGAGCGTCGTGATGGCCATGATGAAGCAGCAGGCGGACACGTAAGGGCTCAGCCGTTCTCCTATCCGGGCCATCTTCCACAGGAGGCCCATGAAGCCCTCTTTTTCTCGGTGAAGAGCTTCGGGAACTGAGCCTTGAGGTACGTGCAGGTGCAGATCATCAGCACTATCACCTGCAGGAGACTCTTGAAGTCAAACAACGCGCTCAACGGAATGTGGAAACCCTAACCCACCCTCACACGTTGACTGAACTCATCAACCTGACGCATCCGATGATCCATCGCTGTTGGATGAGTCCATGCATGCATTACAGAGACGCTCGACCGTCGCAAAACGTGTGCACCACACGCGCCAAACACAGGAGCCGGCCATCCTCTCTCGCCACACACTACCACACACACGGATGGCCGTCACTCAAACAGCGCCACACGGGTCAGTGTGGCGCTGTTTGAGTTTGACCTTTGGGATTGCTGGGCTCTGTGTGGCCTTTGCCGTCTCCGTGAAGCCGCTCCGTGGGCATGTGTCACACGTATGCGTGCAGTGTCACGTCACCCCCACACCCCTCCACTCACCTAGCTAGAGCACAGCACATACACCCAAAGAAAGGAAAACCAGCCAGCCACCTTCCATTCCAATGCACACAAAACCCGGGCATCGGGCAGAGAGCCGACAGACATAGTGATATGTATATGTTGGTATCCTCGGTTGATTCGTGAGAGGGCCGTTCACTCCTTCTTCTTCTTCGAAGGCGGCACGTAGTCTGTCAGATAGACAGCACCCCCCCAAGAGAAAGAGAGACAAGCGAAATCAGTCGGTCAACCGTTGTGGCGTCCACGACTGATAACTAACTGCATGAATGCGTACTCACTTTTGTTGCCTGGGAAATAAATGTGGTGTGTGTGTATTTCTCCGCCCTTCCTGACCTCCTTGGCCGCCTTCTTCTCGGCCTTCTTCTCGGCCTTCTTCTCGGCCTTCTTCTCGGCCTCGAAGCCGTAGGTGTAGTCGAAGGACAGCTGGTCGAGGGGAAACCACTTAAAAGCGAAGTAGAGTAACTACACACACACACACACACAGAGAGAGAGAGAGAGAGTGTGTGTGTGTGTGAGCATTCGTTTTTGCACATCATCCATGCCATGCCTGCGTATGTGCTCACCCCCTGGTCAGATATGCAGAAAGGGTCCGCTAAAGTGTTACGTAAAGTGTTCACTGCAGTGAGCTCCATCGAGGTGCAACTTTCGATGCACCAACCATGCACACACACACGCAGAGAGACAGAGAGAGCACATCCACTCATCCATCCATGTGTGCAGGCGGCAGTAGCGCATATGTGTCTGTCTGTCTGTCGGTCTGCCCCATTCACCTCGCCTAGGGAGCGGTGGTCATCAGTGTGTTCGGGTTCGCCTGTCGTCGATTGACCCCAGGTGGTTCTGAGGACCCTGCACGTTCACCCACACACCGCACCCAATTGACGACATCACATCCCCCCCTCCCCTCCCCGCCCGCCCCGCCCACGTACACCCGATCGACGAGACACATCCTTGGGCCGCCCACCCTACACTTCCCGTCGTACGAGACGCCGACCATACTCCAGTGATGGTGATGCTTAACTGGTCCGACTGGACCTTCCTGGCACGTACATCAGAGAATGACACAGTCACCCATTGTGCCCATACATCGTAGCAGACACCGACTGATGTGTCCTAGGATGTATGAAGCCATTAGAGTGACCTGCAAAGTAGGGGTTCTCTGCGGGGGGGCGGTGATTGATCTCGTCCAAAGAAGGAGCGCTGGGGATCTCGGAGTAGAGCCGTTCAAAGCCCAGTAGGGGAGCGCTGGCGCCGCTGGGTTCTGCGAGGTAGGGGTTCTCTGCGGGGGGGCGGTGGTCGATCTCGTCCAAAGAAGGAGCGCTGGGGATCTCGGAGTAGAGCCGTTCAAAGCCCAGTAGGGGAGCGCTGGCGCCGCTGGGTTCTGCGAGGTAGGGGTTCTCTGCGGGGAGGCGGTGGTCGATGTCGTCCAAAGAAGGCATAGGCGTAGTGCTGGGGATCTCGGGGTAGAGCCGGGTGTGATTGGCCGGCTTGTGTTGTTGTTTAAAGTCCAGGACCACCGTGCACTCCTCTGCCCCTGGTGTGGGTCGCTCACGCGGAGGATTCATTCGAGTCCAGAGGTCCGCAGTGGGGTGAATACAGAACTGTCCTTTGCCATTGACGAGCTTGTAGACGTCACCTCCTGGGCAACTGGGCTCGATCGTGTCGATGCTCCGGCATTCCCCCTGTACACACAATACAACACAACACAACACAACAGACCACACAACACATAACCGTTCCATCCATCCATCCATCCACACACAGACAATCTCACTCACCCATCCTCGACTCTCCATCGACACAGGAGGTCCTTCCAAGTAGTTGGTCACACATACCGCCCCCTTTCCCGAGCAAGAATATTCTTTCGACTGGTGCTTGAAGTACTTGGTCCCGATCAGCATAAAGAAGTGGTTCACCATTCTGTCCTTCTCCGGACTGGAGTATGGCTGCTTCCTCAGTTTTTCCGGCGGCTGCTCCTGTTTCGACTTGTCGTACAGGTCGAAGACCACCGCGCACTCTTTCAATTTGCACCGTTTCACCCATGCCACAGAGACGCACAAAAACAACTGTGTCGTGGCACTGTACTTTCGCGTCAGGCTGGCATTAGGCCGGCCCGCTGCGTATGTATGTGCACCCACCTGTTTCAGCTGTCCAGATGGAAGTGGAGCGCCCCGTCTGTTGGATGGTCGTGGCTAGGTCCTCAATAGCCGTCACGACATCGCCCGTTGCCGTGTGTGCGGCGGTGGCCATCGCGTGGGCGGCGGTACTCGCCGCATGTGCGGCCTCGGTGATGCGCTTGGCCTTGCCGAGTGCCGTCTGCAGATAGGCAGCCGACACGGACCCACCTGCAGCCGTCACCCCACCAGATTGCTGGATGAAGGCGTTTCCCTCATCAGAGGGCGGACACGAAGAGGTATCCGCACCTGCACACACACAAGCCAACAACACTTCCAGTCCATCCTTACGCAAAGCAGGAACGCGCCAGATCAAGACGTGCACAAGAGCGCCGGGCTTTCGCGCCTACCGATGCATCCACCCGTCTGTATTTGGCCAGTGCCGTGCATCGCTCCTCCCACCGCGCCAGCCGCACCAAACTTGCCACTGATGATCCCGCCGATCACCGCCCCCTGGACGCGTCGGACACCACGTCACTCTCCTTGGAGGTGGGATGCTTGGCCTTGGCGAGAGTCTGCGTGTCCTCGACGAAGCTGTGAGGGCACGTGGACTTGTTGTTGGTGACATGGGCTTCGTGTCCCGCCGCCATCTCTTCCACATTTGAGGCTGCGGCATTGCAGAACAAGATGGCCGCCAGGATGGCAATAGGCGCCATGGGAGCAGCTGGGGCGTATTCAGGACGTATTTGGGGGCCAATCGCATGGAGTGGGGGCGTCTCGATCTAGGGTAACCGTTTAGGGTTTGACTGCTGCGTGGTTCAGCTCGAGCCGCACCGCGGATAGTTCTCGATTGTTGCGACAGTGCTCTTTAGGTCTCCTCCGTTGGGATGAGCGCGTTGTTTGACTTCAAGAGTCTGCTGCAGGTGATAGTGCTGATGATCTGCACCTGCACGTACCTGAAGGCTCAGTTCCCGAAGCTCTTCACCGAGAAAAAGGAGGGCTTCATGGGCCTCCTGTGGAAGATGGCCCGCATCGGAGAACGGCTGAGCCCTTACGTGTCCGCCTGCTGCTTCATCATGGCCATCACGACGCTCTTCTTCTGATCTGATCGAGTCGGACCAACAAACGGCACACCGAACCGACGAGGGATCACAGCGAAGTACGTGCACATGGACGACATTGATGCAGGGCGACACAGCAGCTCAGATTATGTGGACCTGCTGGCGAGCCAGATGGATGAGTTTGCAGCCACCGTGCGGTCACTCGGCAGCCGGCAAGAGATGAAGACTGAGGCAGGGTCTGCTGCTGAGAGGGAGGACAAGGCAGTGGCGGGGTCGGCGTCTCCTACATTTGATGGTGATGCGTTCAAGGCGCTGCCGGCGAGGGAGCAGGTCTACCGGCTCACACGCGTCGCCAACCAGTTGCAGGTGGGCAAAGTCGCACTGCTCTCTGTGTGTGGCCTGACGTAGATCTGTGTGGCTGGCTGCCTGTGTGGTTCTTTCGTCCTGTTTTTCTGCAGGCCGTGTTGGCTGACACCAACGCCGTGTGCCGCCAGATCCGACAATCAAAGACCACCGGTGAGTGAGTGAGGGACTCAGGGCACTAAGTACATCATTGGGGGACACACATACACACAGACTGTCTGTCTGTCTGTCTGTCTGTCTGTGTGTCGGTTGCAGGTGGTTTGGACATGAAGACAGTGGTGGACTACGCCTTCCGCATCGCGGGCACCACCTGCGCGCCGCCCGGTTGGGACGAGCAGTACATGTACAACCCGCCCAACAAGACCCCCTATGTGACGGCCGAGGGGCCCGACGGCCAGCCGGTTGTCGCCAACAACGCCTTCCCCACCCACCCCTACTGCTACCCAACGGACGAGTGGGTGCGCGAGTCATGCCTCTTCAACCACATGCAGCTCAGAGGTCAGTCAGTCAGTCAGTCGACAGATGGCCCATCTGATCTGGTGTGATGTGATTGATTGTGTTGTGACATTGGTCGTGCAGCGGTGCCTCCGACGGTGACGGTGACCAAAGCTGAGGGAGAGCCCATGACTGTCGTTGTAAGCCTGGCTGGCTGGGAGGGATGCACAGTCAGTGAGTGAGTGAGTAGTGAGTGAGTCACGATGGATGGCTGTGCCGTGCGTGACGTGACTCAGGTGCATTTGGCCACGCCGACGGAGGGTGCGCAGATCTACTACCAGATCGACCCCACCATCGACGACGCATCGGCCGCACAAGGGCCAGGCCCCGACAACGCTGCACCGGTGCATGCACACAGCATCCCAAATCTTGCTCGTCAAGTGGATGGATACATACACGTGTGATTGCAATAATGAGTGTGTGTGATGATATGATTCACCCATACAGTATGACCCGAATATGCCTCCGAGGGTATCTGGTGCAGGACGACACTTCCTGCGGGCACAGGCCTTCAGACTGGGTGAGCGCCTGACTGAATGCGCGGATGTCATATTGGTGTTGATCAAATGTGTGTGTGTGTGTGTGTGTGTGTGTGTGTGCACAGGCTCGGCCAAGGGCTCAGGCTATGTGCAGCAGCAAGTCGACATAGAGGACGAGAGTGGGGCAAGACGCACACGACCACACACACGCATCCCATTGTCTGTCTGTCTGTCTGTCTGTGTCTGTCTATCAGCCAGTGCTGCCAGTGTCCAGCAGCAGCAGCAGCCGCAGCCACCACCTCCCTCTCTCGACGTGTCAGCAGTGGGCGGCCTGGCCGCCCGGCGGGCAGACAGGACGCCCATCAGCGCCATGCGCACCCTGTCGTGGCGAGAGGGGTACGTGAGCCCACGTGTATATAACGTAGGCGTTGGTGCAGTATCCGTGCCCCTGTTTGTCGGTGTGTCCCGTCCCACATCACATGCATTGCAGGCAGACCCCCTCTGGCACTGAGGAGCGGGCGGCCAAGCGGGCGAGAGGGCAAGACCTCTTCAGGTCAGTCGATTGTGGGTGGGTGGGTGAGTGAGGTGCACCATCTGTTTATCTCTGTGTGTGTGCGGGGGGGCACCGGTCTGTCCATCTGTGTGCTGTGTGTGTCAGTTCTCTGCATCTAGGAGGTATGGATGAGGACGAGGAGGGCTCATCGCCGTCTCACTTCGGCGGCATGTCCCCCGCCATGCCCTCCAGGGGCGTATCGGCCGCTGCTAGTGCTGCCGATGCCGCTGGTGCTGGTGACGAGCCGCCATCGGCCCCCCAACAACAGCAGCAGCAGGAGGGGGATGGCGAGGAGCCGTTAGGGAGCGGGGGAGGTGGTTACTCATCGAGCAGCTCCTCTAGTAGTGGCGAAAGTAAAGACGACGAGTGAGGCATAGCTGACGTGTGTGTGTGTGTGTATGGAGGGGTGGATAATCACATGGACTCACTGCAGTGCACTCACTCTCAAGACAGACAGACTCCCATGTTTACTTCCGCGCGAGTCTTGATTCCCCGTGCGCGCAGCTTCCGATGATGGGTCTGCACACGAGACACACACGCACATATGCACACATACGGGCTTTCCGCTGGTCGATGCTGACTAGACACACACACACACACTCACACACCCTGGCACACACAAATACAAATTGACCTGTCAGTGAAATCTGACCATAGACACACATGATGGGAGGGAAGCCCGAGCAACCACTTGTCCTAACCGCACTGGAACGGATCAGACAGACAGACAGACATTATGAGTGAGGGAGGCCAGTCGCGAAAAGCACCCCCACACACCACACCACACCACACCAGACGCATTCAAATCAATCAACTGTCACACTCACACACGTGCAGGCAGGCAGAAATATCCCTCCCTCTCCGTTCGCCATGTGCAAAACAGACAGCTTACCTCACACACACACACACACACGCACTTGTATACACACACGGTAAGGCGCAACCACAGCTGACTGACGATATATAAGCTCGAAAGCAGTCATCAGCATCTTCAAACCACTGAAACGGAGGGCAACAAAGTGAGCAGCAAGGAAGGAGTGTATGCACACACAGCAAACAAGCAAGCAGCCAGGTACACCATCATGCCCTCCCTGCAGTCGGTGTCGGTGTGAGCGAGCGACAAGCATGCAGAGACACATCCATCCACATCCATCCATTACGTCTGCCGGCAGCAAGCAAGCAACGTTAAGCTGTCTCCCTCCCCACCCCACCGATGACAGCCAGCCAGCCCGCCCCTCCCTTGTGCGTGTGCGTGTGTGTGTGTGTGCGATGTGGGCAGTCGCCACACACCACACCCCATGGCAGCCAGCCAGCCACCCAAGGCAGCACAGCACCCGTACACTCAACGACGTATGTTCCTTACCCACACGAAAAGAATCGACTCCGCGCGGACGTCAGATGGATGGGAGGGAGGAAGGAAGCACGGTACCGTTCTCTCTCTGCGTTGCGTGCGGTGGGGAGGGGCTAACTTGGATGACCAGCCGTGAAAGCAGCTCCTGCATGCCCCGCAGCGCATCTTCAAATGAGCTGCCCGGGACGCAGAAGCCGCGGCGCAGGCAGCAGATCCACATCAGCAATGCACCACACGCACCCACACAGCACTCGACATCAGTTGGATGCCATGGATGTGTCAGGGGGTCTTTCCGCCTCTACTAAACAGCTGCCCTCTTGAGCGTGCGTGAGCCACCGAGGAAAAGCGGACCACGCACATCCAGGCAGTGAGGGAGGGAGGGAGGCAGGCAGGCAAAAACAGCACATCGTTCGCTCTCTGATAGCTAGATGGATGGATGCACACATGCGTGGCAGACAGTGGCCCGCATCATTGCGCTATCTGTGGTTTGGTCAACCCCTGAGTCCGCCGCGGTCGAGGTGTTGGCAAAAGCAGCTCTGGAGCGCTTTTGCCAAGGCCTCCACTCTGACGAACGTAGGCCTCGACCACCTCAGGTAGGCGAGGCGCAGGTTTCCCACCATCCATTATCCCCTCTCTCTGTGCTCTCTGCCTCTCTCCCCCCTCTCTGCCCTCCTCTCGCATGCAGGTATGCATCGCAAGCGAACCTCCATCCATCCATCCCTCGCCATTCATGAGCTATAAGTGCGGAAACAGGGGAGTAAGTGAGTACGTACGTCAGCCGGTGAGGTGAGGTGAGGGAGCTATTTGACTTCGCTCCTGGGCACCACCCAGCCCACCACGACGGTGATGTCGTCCTTCTTCCCACCCTTGTTCGACATGCCCTCCATCTCCTGCAGGCGCGCGTTCCACGGCGTGTCGGCCTTGCTGTCGTGGCTGCGGGCGTAAGCCGCCTGTGCCAATGCCTCCGCTATCTGACAGGGAGAGAGAAAGATGCGCGCGCGTGTGTGTGTGTGTGTGGTGGGTGAGGGGGAGGGTTTGGGTGCCTTCTTTGGGTCGGATGGTCTTGCGAGGTTGCCGAGGTCGGCTTGCTGTGTGGGGTCGGATTGGATGGCCTCTGCCTCGAGCGGCGACACGAAGCGGGCCGCTATGGCGGCGATCTCGTGGTCGAAAAGGTTATCGAAAAACCCTGTTGATCAAACACACGCACACGCATCAAACGGTGTACATCCCATGGATGTCGTGTACCATCCGAGCCGACTATGATGAGGTCCCCCTCCTGCACAGGAAGGGAATAGAGGTCGGCATCCTGCACACACACACATCACACGCAATGGTCCATCCACCCATCCATCGTCTTGAGGGGCTTGTTGCCCCACCCACCTTTGGTGTGTCTCCCTCTCCGTCGTTGGGCTCGTTTGGCATCTTGGTGAGCTGGAAGGGGCAGTTGAAGTAATGCTGCTGCTCCTCAGTCCGCAGCACAAACGACAACAGCCCGTCCGGACCGCGCCTATCAATCAAATCATCCACACCATTCCCACACACACACACAGGAATGCTCCCCATCCCACACACACAGCCAACGTACCTGAACACGATGATGCCCGAGTCTCCGACATTGGCCACGCCCAACCGGTGGCCCACATCATCCAACGCCGCCACCTAAACACACATGTGAGCTCACATGTGTGTGATGCTTCCGGCTGTCTGGCCGTGTGCCTGTCGCACTCACCACAGCAGTGGTCGACCCAGGCGGCCCTTCGGAGCGCGCAGCACGGTACCCCTCCCACAAAATGCCCAACGCACTGTTTGCGGCCGACGCATACACACCAACACGCAGAGACAAGGTCATGGTGTCCATCCATCCATCCATCGATCCATTTCTGTGTGTCGCTGACCGTTTGGTGTCGGGCAGTTTGTCGGCCTCCGGCGACCCGGTGCTCTCGAGTGAGAAGTTGCCCACATCGGCGCTGTGGCAGCACTTGTCCATCATGTACGCCGGGAAATCCCTGTGCGTGCGTTCGGATCCAGGCACAACACACACACATAGTCAGCACATATTCTGTCTCCACTTCTGTGCGAATCTGTGTCTCTGTGGTGTGGGTGTGTTTTACCTGGGATCGATGCCATATTTCCACATGCCGCCCACGCCGTCGGCCACGCCCACCGCCGACCCGTCACTGCACACAAAGTGGGCGTCCTCGCCTCCCGTCGCCTTCTTGGAGTCCTCAGGGATGGCGCTCGACCCGGCCCTGTCCGTATGCGGCACACACAGACACATGAAGGGATTGTCAAGGGAGTAGTGTCTCTCTGGCTGACCACAGCTGTAGGTTTGTCTTTGCGGGAGGATGGGGCATGGTGGGTCGCCTCTTGGGGTCGCTGAGGACGCTGAAGACCTCCATTGGCGGCAGCAGCCGCTCGACAGACACCGGCGGCCACTTGGCCGGACCTGCCGCACGGAAAATCCCATGGCCAGACCTAAACCACACACACCACACACAGAGACACAGATGGATACCTCAACCTCACCTCCCCTCTGTGTCTCACCGCGCGAGTGCTGTGATTTTGGTGAGTGGCTTCCAAATGTCGGCTGCAGCGGCGCCCCAGTTGGCCCCGCTGGCGACGACGAACGACGGGTGGACGAACTCGTCCCCCCAGAAGGCCTCGACCGCCGTCCCGCCGATCTGCGGCCCGAACCGCTGCGCCAACCCCTTCGGGAACAGACGCACCGACACGCGATAGTGGCTGAAGGCCAGGTGGAACTCGCCGCTCTGCCATCCCCCTCTGCTCCCCTGTTGCTGGAAGTGTTGTCGAGCCTGTGCAGAAGATGCAGCAGCAAAGCGGGTGGTGGTGAAGTGGTAGGTGGCGTGGGGCAGTGGGGTGATGCTGCTGGCTGACGGGCGGGCGGGGGCGGGCGGGCAGCCTGCCAGTGAGTGGGGGTGGACTCCACCCTCAGCCCCAACACACACACCCTCCCAAAAGCCAACCCTCTCGTCAGTGTCGTCACACACGTCACTGTCGGCATCGGCATCACCGTGATCGCCATCACCGTCACTGACGACCGATGACGCGTCAGCCGCAGTGGACACATCAGAGAGGGAGGGGGAGTGGGGCACACTACAGGGGGGCGACAGAAGGAGAGAGGGTGCCACGAGGGAGGGGCACTCCTCACGGTGAAAAAGGGGCAGAGGCCACAAATCGACTATGCAGTCTACCTCCATATCACAATCACTCACACACACACAGTCGGTCACTCAGTAAGTCAGACACCCCCGACAGACAGATACAGAGAGACAGAAGAGACAGAGAAGCGACAAAAAAGGCTGCTTGCTGCGCGACGAACGTACGCCCTTAATGCAATCAAGCAACCCAGCCAGCCAGTAAGCCACTGAGGAGGTGAGTGAGTCAGTCGGCGGTCTAGGTAGATAAACAGAAACGGCCGATACAAACAACCGAGTGTCTGAGTGACCAGCGGGCGGGACAAAAAAAGCCCCTGATCAAAACCCCCTGTCTGTCTTTCTCTCAGTCTGTAGACTGACAGAGAGAGGGAGGCAGGACGGACACCACCCTTACACACCGCCAATGGACGACGAACCACCGAACGAACGATACACAAGGACGGATTGGCGGAAGGAATGGCGAGAGAAGGACCTCAGTCAGTCACTCACTCAGCCACGTAAACACACCGATGTTGGTCGGACGATGAACAAACCGGACAATCCCACAGACAGACAGACAGACGAACTGACACAGCTCCTTTCTCTCAAGCACTCACTCACACACTCACTCACTCACTCACACACACCACACCTCACGATGACAAATGTAGATAACAGCACGATGGATGGATGGATGGATGGATGCTACACAACACTTGAGTGAGAAGTGCATCAAAACTTGTCTTCCTGATTGCAATGTGCCGGAAGGCACCGCATCCCACAGACCCACAGACAGACACACACCTGTTTGGTCACCGCCTATGCGACTGTACTAGCATCCCACACACCACTCCCGCAACACCATGCCCTTCAGCTAAGATAAGACTGTTCCCACACGCACCGCAACACACAGCACCACAACACACAGCAACAAGGCGACACAGCACAAGACCGACGAGCTGTCTTTGCAGGCTGACAAAACCGTCAGTGAGTCAGCAGTGAGTCAGAGTCACTCAGCCGCAGCAGACGCCGGCGGCCGCCCCTCCTTGTCGCTCTCTTCGTCCCTCTTTCTCACGCCACAGCCGATTGAATCAGTCAGCCACTCAGCAAGTCAGTCAGTCAGCCCCCCTGCTCTCGCCTGCCAACCCGCCCGCCCGCCTCTCTCTCAGTGTGTGGCGTGCTTGTGCGCAGATCTGCCTGCCTGCCTGCCTGTCTGCCTGTCTGCCTGTCTGCCTGGCTCATTCGCACACCTGTGTGCTGGAGAGCTGCAAGCCGGCCGTTACGCACGGAATGGATACCCACAGCAGACTCGACATCATCACGCAGATCTCTTCCACAAGCGCGCAGTGGCTGGAACCCTCTGAAAGAAATGCATGAGGCTGGCGCTGCTGCTGCTCCCCCTTATGTGTGTGGAACCAACCGCCGTCGACAGAGATCAATGATCTTTCATCGCTTCACGCTGCTGTTGTCATCGGCTCTGAGTGCCACCGCGTCAGCATGGGCTGCAGGCCCATCGTGGCATCCGTCAGCAGCGTTCGTCCCCCTTTCACCGCTCTCTCGGCCGTACCCACATCTGCATCAGATCGGCAGGCGGCACCGTGTGTCCATGGTGGCGCCTTCCAAAGTGCCTCAGGAGACCGACGTGGTCGTCATTGGCAGCGGTGATTGCGCCTGCCAGTTGGAAGATCACAATGCAATGATGCAATGCGACTGACTGACTGACTGACTGACCGTCTGTGTGCAGGCATCGGTGGTCTGTGTTGTGCGGCTCTGTTGGCCAAGTATGGCGACGATGTCACTGTCTGTGAGTCGCACGTGTACCCAGGTACTTACTGATGATGCACGCACCAAGAGTGTCGGGCGTATTGACCGTTGCCCTGTCTTTCCTTTTGTGGGTGTCAGGTGGTGCGGCGCACTCATTTGAGCGTGATGGCTACATGTTTGACTCAGGGCCCAGCCTCTGGGCCGGCATGAGCCAGCCGTCAATCAACCCTCTCAGACAGGCAAGACAGACAGACAGACAGGCGGGCCACACCAAGTGCCCGATAATGTGTGTGTGTGCGTGTGTGTGTGGCTGGCTGACAGGTGCTTGATGCCGTGGGTGAGGAGGACTCTATCGAGTGGTGCAGCTACGACGGCTGGTCGCTCTACACACCAGAGGGCACATGGAGATTCACTGTGGGCCCGGGCAACTTCGAGCCCACACTGCGCAAGTACGGTGGCGAGCAGGCCGTCAAGGAGTGGCGAGCGCTCCTCAAGAAGATGGAACCCATCATAAAGGTCGCCAGCGGCATCCCCCCAATGGCCTTGCGCGCCGACCCGTTCGCCGTCCTCACCGTGCTGCCCTACCTGCCCTCTCTGCTCGGTGCAGGCAGGTCAGCTGCACGTGCACCAAATCCGCTCAACAACAGCACTCTCTGTCACAGTGTGTGTGGGTTTGGTTTGGACAGGTATGCGAACAAGCTGACAGGTCCATTCACCAATATTATGAAGGGCACCGTCAGCAACCCCTTTCTCTACAACTTCCTCGACTACCTGGCCTTCGCTTTGAGCGGCCTGCCAGCCAACGAGACGATCGGTGCGGCAGTGGCGGTGACGCTCTCCGACATGACGCGGCCCGGCCGCGCGCTCGACTACCCAAAGGGGGGCGGCGGGGCGGTGGTCGACGCGCTCGTGCGGGTGAGTGAGTGACCGTAGTCGATGGACAGGCATGAAGCAGTCCAGCCAGCGATTTATGCGTGTCGATCCGATCAGGGGATCGAGAAGCATGACGGTCGTGTGTTGCTGGGTGCTCATGTGGATGAGGTGCTGGTGGAGGGTGGACGGGCTGTCGGCGTGCGGCTCAAGAATGGCAAGACCATCAAAGCCAGGAAGGCCGTCGTCACCAACGCATCCGTCTGGGACACAGCCAAGCTCCTCAACCCTGGTAGCTGAGCTGGACCAGGGAGTGAGTGGGTGCCTTGCCTTGCGCTGTTCATGTGTCGACTCTGTCTGCATATGTTCGTGTCTGCAATGCAGATGTGGTGCCTCCCGAGCTGTTTTCTCGTGCGGACAGGACGCCCACTACGGACAGCTTCATGCACCTGCACCTGGGCATTCGCGCCGACGGGCTGCCCAAGGACTTCGACATACACCACAGCGTCGTGGTACACACACACACGGATGGAGCGGACGAAAGGATTGATGCAATGCACGTATGTGTGTAGTTTGATTGGGACGTGGGCATAGCGGCGCCCGCCAACATGGTGATCGTGTCCATCCCCACCGTGCTTGACCCCTCTCTGGCGCCCGAGGGCCACCACGTGGTCCACGCCTACACCGCCGGCAATGAGCCGTGGGAGCCCTGGCAACACCTTGATAGAAAAAGCCCCGAATACAAAGTGAGTGAACGAATGATCCACTCGCTCGCTCGTTGGAGGCAGACTGTCAGACTGTCTGTCTGTCTGTCTCTTCTTTCTCTGCGTGCGTCAATTGTCTGTCAGGCCTTCAAGCAGGAGAGGAGCGAGGTGCTGTGGCGTGCACTGGAGCGATTCATCCCCGACATCAGGGACAGAGTGACGTGTGAGCTGGTCGGCTCCCCCCTCACACACCAGTTCTTCCTGCGCCGCCACCACGGCACTTACGGCCCCGCCCTGGCAGCCGGCAAGGAGACCTTCCCGGGCCCCAAGACGCCTCTGAGGCGCCTCTACCAGTGCGGTGACTCGACCTTCCCTGGGATCGGTGTGCCTGCGGTGGCCGGGAGCGGCATGAGTGCCGCCAATGCCATGACGCCAGTGGGGAAGCAGCTGAGGCTGCTGGGCGAGCTGAGGAGGAAGGGGGCGCTCGTGACTCATGAGTGTGAGTGGAGGAGACCTGTGTGTGTGTGGCACGCGGCTGGTGGTGTACATATGGAGGCATAGGTCTGCGAGAAGAAGAGCTTAATTGTAGGGTTTGTTTATGAGGGTGTGGTGAGCTGCTCACTGAGCGGTGACGTTGTGCGTGGCGTGCGGCAATAAGGAACCCATCCTGAGTCCGAGTATGTGTGCCAGGCAGACACTGTTTGTCGCGTGTGTGTGTGTATGTGTGTGTGTATGTGGCCTGCCTTTGACTGATTGAAACGTCTGAGACGTCGATCTGTCTGTTGGGAGAGTCTCATCTACATATACGCACGCACAGGCCTTTCCCTCCCCTCCCTCTCTGCGCGTGGACCCCTGTTGACATGAGCCTGTGTGTGAGTGTGTCGGTGTGTGCGCCACGCGCTGCTGCACACGCGCATTCATCAAATTCGCAAACCCTACGCATAGCTAGGGTTTAGATGAGCACGTCAGCCGCCGCCCCGCCCCCCTTCTTAGCACACAGGAATGGGAAAGGCTCCCCCGCAGCGATCGGCAAAATGCGAGCTTAGACGTGCAACGGCACGCACCTTTTTGAAACTTTTAACCGCGCAGATCAGCAGTAGAGAGGCTCACAGGAAGGCCACACAGCAGCCAGGAGGGCTCTCTTCGCTCAAATCTCTGCTGCTGATGCGGCCTCTGTTTCTGTCTGCGTCTGTGTGTCAGAGATGGCCGTGTTGCGCCAAGACCCCGAGGCTCGTTTGGGTGTCAGAGGATTGCTGTCGATGAAGGCTTTGCTATGTGCCGATTAATTGGCCTCTGCGAAACGATGCCTTGGCGTGCACTCCCTTGGGGCGCTACGACCCATGTGCAGCTCCGCGACGAGTGCCTCTATAGAGGAGATTCCTGGGCGTCAGATTGACCAGGGCCTCCAGCCCAACACGCACAGCCGTCGAGCGGTGCTCTCTGAGGCACTTCTGAGTGACTCCCTCCCTCCCCTCTATGTGTGACTGTCATCTCTGCAGGCACGTCTTCGCTCTGTGGGTGCGGCCCGGCCCATCCAGCACATGGATCAAGTGCACCCTCAAGTTGGTTACACACGTGCCAAGAGAGAGGAACAGGTCAGCAAAACTGACGACGCTACGCAACCGCAAAAAAATGTCACCATTTTGGCATTTTTGACCGTAGGATGACCATTGATGGCCACCTGCAGGCCGACAGACGACCGATAGACAAGAACCAAGACCACCCAGGGTTAGTGCGAAAATACCTACAACGACCTATTTAGAACCGACTTCTTGTCTTTGACCTACTTGGCCCAGTGGGTGGGCAATCCACCTACCCCCAGGTAGGTATACACACCCTCCGCACACACCCTGCCTTGCCTTGTGCTGTTCGTGTGTAGACTCTGCATTCGTGTGTGATATGCAGATGTGGTGCCTCGCGAGCTGTTTTCTCGCGCGGACAGGACGCCCACTACGGACAGCTTCATGCACCTGCACCTGGGCATTCGCGCCGACGGGCTGCCCAAGGACCTCGACATACACCACAGCGTCGTGGTACACACACACACACACACACACACACGGATGGAGCGGACGGAAGGATTGATGCGATGCACGTATGTGTGTAGTTTGATTGGGACGTGGGCATAGCGGCGCCCGCCAACATGGTGATCGTGTCCATCCCCACCGTGCTTGACCCCTCTCTGGCGCCCGAGGGCCACCACGTGGTCCACGCCTACACCGCCGGCAATGAGCCGTGGGAGCCCTGGCAACACCTTGATAGAAAAAGCCCCGAATACAAAGTGAGTGAACGAATGATCCACTCGCTCGCTCGTTGGAGGCAGACTGTCAGACTGTCTGTCTGTCTGTCTCTTCTTTCTCTGCGTGCGTCAATGGTCTGTCAGGCCTTCAAGCAAGAGAGGAGCGAGGTGCTGTGGCGTGCACTGGAGCGATTCATCCCCGACATCAGGGACAGAGTGTCGTGCCAGCTGGTCGGCTCCCCCCTCACACACCAGTTCTTCCTGCGCCGCCACCACGGCACTTACGGCCCCGCCCTGGCAGCCGGCAAGGAGACCTTCCCGGGCCCCAAGACGCCGCTGAGGCGTCTCTACCAGTGCGGCGACTCGACCTTCCCTGGGATCGGTGTGCCTGCGGTGGCCGGGAGCGGCATGAGTGCCGCCAA